AATGCAAAACCTTGATCACTCATTCTTGTCACAGTTCGCCAAACACTCACTTCAGGGGACACTCATTCAAATTAGTGCTCCATAAATGTCCACCAGAATGCCGGCGTCATTCATTTGCCATCGAAGTGGGCAGAATTTGGAATTCTCCATCACCTCACGTTGTTTCTGTCCCTACCATTGATTCTGTTAAGCACAAACTGGATGAAAATTTGACAAGACTTTCGACATCCGTAGCAATGTACCAAAAAGACATAATTGGTGACTCTCTTCACCATTCTGTGGACCGTAAATCGACCCATTTCTGCTAAATCCTATAGGATGAGAAAAAGCAACCGCTTGTAAGTATTTCCCATAATGAAAGTTTGACTTTGTGTTTGAGGCTCCGGGGACCAAACTAGGAGACTGGGTGACAAGTGAGGATATCGGACTGGCGATACAGATAGTTCCGTTGTTGCTTTGGAGGCCGTCTTGAACGCAGATCGGAACAATTTTAACACCATTACTGGTACAATGTTTGTCGAAATCGTGTATAACGGATGTACGTACTGGTGTTTCTTCTGGAGCAAACGGGACAGGCTTTCGTCAACTGGAGTTAAAGAATTGGTATCAGCAGTGCACTGTCCCCATACTTTGAGGATAAGTGCGTATATAGTATTTTCGTACCAGATCTCCGATCAATATTCTCACATTATTCGGTTAACCGTGGCCCCACTGTTTACTGTATTGTGAGGGTTTGAATATGAATGAAAGAATTTGGGTACACATAGAATTTCAACACACTGTAGTTATGTTGTTGTTGTTATTATGCGGTTGTTAGATATGTTTTTGCAACTCAATAGAACCATGAATAATCCAAACCTATGAGAAAAGCTGACAGAAAATTGCGTTATTTCAATGAGCACAGTTCGGCGGTTCTGAAGTAGCATTTAATGCTCTCCATGGGGCATAAGGTGATCGACTGTGCGGAGATAAATCGGAACAATTGCTGATATTTGATTGTATCACGTGCATGCTTTAACGAAAATTTGCGTTAGCTCACAGTAGTACTTCAATACGAGTCTGTTCCAACCAAAAGTAGCGCCATTAGTTGGGAATTTCATCACGGTTGGCCATGGTAAGTGTAATTCAAAGGGTGCAAACGACACACTGGTTAAATCACTGAACGGGAACAATCCTCATTTGGCACAAGTAGTATTTGATAGAAGAAAGACTTAGAAGTCGGTAAAGTATCGTGCTTCTACGGCCATGATCTACTTTCCCAGCCCTCATTAGTTACCCTCATCTCTCATCTGTGGATTTTGGAAATCGGAACCACGAAACTATGATAACTTTCGGGCAGACCGATTGAGAAGTGGACTAAACATAACGGAGATTAACAGAAACCAGAATAGTCGGGGAGGCACTGCCTGACATTTGAAATTCGCCATTCCTCAATAGGGCAGTCGAGGTTTGTTGCATTTTTTAACTTCTAAACAGAAAACAAGTTCAACTACCGGGAACGCATAGCATCTCCAGGTTTACACATAACCGCGGGAAATTAGGTCATAGGGAGACCACCGTTGAGTGCGAACAGAAACAAGGTGCGTTTGCAGTTTTTGCTTGTTTGTGCAGAGACGGATGTTGAGCACATCGCTTCCATTGGACACCTGTAAAACCTCGTGCTATTCACAAAACTCTGCTTCGTTTTTGAATATTCAGCCGAAATAAAGTACTGTAAAGAAGTTAAGTTAAGTACTCTATCCACATGCCCGGGTAGGCGTCCATTTTACGCGGCCCATAGGACGAGAGTATTTGCATCTTCAAACATAATATAAAATTCCGATTGGATTGGAGGTAGGAGGTAGAAATATGATATCGGTCAAACTAATCACTGTGTTCGTGTGATATCAGAACAACTAGGGGGAGGACACATGGAAACGCTGTTGCTAACAGTACAATTGTTAAGAGAGGGTATATTTACAGGCCCAATAACGAAATAAAATTATGTTGTGTTAAGGCTACTTTTCGGATTGACAACGAAATTTGGCTTGTTCATCTTAGTTTTAAACCACAAAGATTACATTTGTACCAAGGCGGAGACAATTCGGTACTGGTGGTCTATGATATTGAGTGATACATGTTGTTGACCAGGGGTATGGGAAAACACTGGATTTCGATAGAGTTTCTAATTAAAATGTACGCATGCAGACTGATTTAGGGTGCAATTAATTTGGGTCCCGATCCCCCTTCAACACTCGCATGTCATGGACGGATACACACCACGTATCGTTAGCACTCACCAACATAAACTTCTTCTTGTTGTACTTCGATTTCTATCTTCGAAATTTGGCACTTGATCAGATTCCGTTCAACCAATTTGGGGGCACAGCTGTATGGGCCGACAAAAATATCCAGTTCCGCCGCTTTTGTAAAACCCGATCCGCGAATTTCGATCACTGCGCCACCGATCGGTGAACTAGCATGGGTTACGTCAGAAATCACTGATATGGTTTCCAGTTTGATGGAGAATAAGAAGAAAGAGGGAGTAGGTAAGAGGTGATGAGTGTGAAGAAGTTCGGGATAGGTGAGTGCGTTCAAGAACCGCGATTTGGCAAGTGTGTACGGTTCTAAAAACAATGAAATGCGAAATATTTTCACTTTCATTTTATGGTAAGTTTGTATACGCCCATTTGAGTTTACAGGCACTGAGGTGAGCGAATGCTCTTCTAATGCAATTTGTGCATTGTGTCTTGCTATTCAAAAGTTTGATTGATCCCAGTTTGTCGAGTGTACTCCATCTTGTATGCCATCAATGACCGATAAAGACAGTGCTGAACGGTTTTTGACGCAGTTGTTGGAATTCATTAGCACAAAGTATTTTTCTGTGATTGTGTGGACTGGAACTTTCGGTTTCGGGAGCCGAAATGTCCTTATATATGCCTCGATATGAGTTTGGGGACAGGCAACTAAAAAGGATTCCCGTATCAGTCACTTTAGATCGCCTGGTTGTTTCATTAAAATAGATGCATTTCTCAAACAAAAATGAGCCTCTTGACTGGTTATTTTGGCTCAGAAAGTTTCTGCAATAAGATAAATGGTTATAGCCAAGGAGCTTCTGGTGCAAGAACATAATTGATCAACCCCGACAACGTGGTTAGATTTTATCCAAACATCTCTCTAAACGCACGAGAAGTGTGCAGCGGTTGCACCCACGATGTTTGTCTTATTTATGGGTCATAGAAATTAGGGCAAGCACCATCACAAAATAAGGTGTCATTCTGCGCCAAGGTTTTCATACTGTTCCTTCGCAATTTATAATGAGTAGTGACATTTTACGTTTACAGTCAAATATGTTATTACAACACTTTGTTCAAACAATAATAATTTACAATGAGTTGCAATGAATGTAACCCTCACCCTCCGTGATTCGATGTATTCCCACAATGCACATAATAAATTACTCATTAACATTCATTGTGCAGTTCTGAGTCGTTTGTTATTCTTTGATTACATAATTCATTGTTATTATATCCGGTATTTTTGATTTAATTCGCACTAAGCAACGAGTGAATCCTCCGAGGCATTCTATGCTCCAGAGATCAATTAAAATGAGCGACAGGTTCACTGGAAGGATGAGGAACTTAATTCCGGTGGAACGGAGGGTGGGAGGATGACCAAGTTCAGTGTGAGGTATGCGCTGCACAACAAAGAACATTGACCTCTGAACGTGTACTGCATGTCTGGATCGAACACGCGAGAATAATGTCCAATGATGGTTCAAGAAAATTGAGCGCAATATCGGTCAGATGAGTAGGTGACGAGAGCAGAACTCACCGGGATATCGCTGAATCATGTAAAAATCCTCGGTACGACTGATTTGCAAAGTGGACGCATCGAACGTACTCCTGAAGATCAGACAGAATGGAAGGAGTTTTAACCGTGTAGCAGTAAAACATGTTCACAGATATTTTTTGTTGATGATCAGTACGGTTTGTTTTGAATGTAGTGTGCTAAAACCTAGATATAACTCATCAGACTGCTGCGTCACTGCTCGGTGTGGATCCATTTACCAGATGAGATGCGAAGGGTATCACTGCTTGCCAGCGCCATGTCAACTCGAAGCCCTTTTGCTACTGGATTTATTTTTGATAAATAGTAGTATCAAGATTGACGGGAAAGTGAGTAGACCAAGGCTACGCAAAATGTTTCATATCTACAACTTTGATCACCGTTGATGCAAATTAAATATCCTAAAGATGCCCACATGAATATTGACTAATATTTCACAGCTCTGTAAACTGAAAACGAGCTTCACTTAGATGATGTGAATGCTTTCCGAACTGAACGCAATCTCAAACAGCGCGTCAACATAGCCGACTGATCCGGTAATGATGTTGGGCACAGATCTAGCCTCAAGCCTCTACTGATACTATAAATAAATATCTAGGGCTTGCTAACTGTTGAGACTATCTCGTGGACAAAGCGAGTTTAGATCGGCAAAACCTGCGTCATGTGACCGATTTCGATCCGGTTGTAACCATTTCTGGCTCATGATTATTACTGTTTGAACAGTTCGTTAAACTGACAATTGGCTTTTTTGTGGGTCCAGATCACACGACACTCACTCACTGCACAACCAATCAATATCCACCGTGTGTCACTGACCCGGGCTATCGTTTTTGATACACCTAATTTGTACACTATTCACTGCTGCTGTTAGTGCTTTGTGGAGGAACTTTAATCCCAGCGAATAAAAACTGTTTCATCACCCTGATGGGTGGGGAGGGGTAATATGTGCACTTATGGGGATACCTCATGAGATAATTTTTCACCTGAACATTCCCCATCGTCACTGGATCATCGGAGGTCCTTGTCATTAAAAGAAGATAACCGCCTAGTTCTTCCCCTCGGCTTGTTTGTGCATATCTGTGGTGACTTGGTTGTCAGGGTTTGTACATGATGGTCATTTGTTTTCATAAATATGATCGCTTGCTTAGATGATCAACGATTGTTATGATAAAGACGAGTGTAGGTATGAGTGTAAGGCTGAAACAGCCTGGCAGTTCCCTGAATTGTCGTGACTTGCCTTCCGAACGGAGATTTCAGTATTACTGTGAGGTTTTGGTTACCTTTGGAGAAATGCGAAAAAAAAATGAGACGGATGAAAATGAGAAAAGTCACTCAACTGCATTCAAAAATACCATAATAAGAGATGCACTTCTGAATTTGATTGGAGTCAACTGCAGACCACACCAGGGCAAAGCGAAATAATCAAGTACTTTGTCGTAAATGTCTCATTTTGGCATCTTGGCCTGGTAAGCGCTTATCGCAAGAATTCATACGATGATCTTTCATTTATTTCAAACCTGAGACACATTTGGATTGAAAACAAAGCATTATAGTTAAGAGTTTTATTGATTCCATTACACTGCGTGTGAGAAGTGAGCTTCTTGCACTGGGACGAGTGAACTGGTAACAACCGCTTTACACCACATCAGAGCATGCACTTCAAAATCGCACATTGAAAGGAAACGGAACGGGCGTTGAATGAACACAACACACGGGTATGAAACTCACAGGTCACGTTTATCCAGATTACAAAGTAGACAATATGGAGTCGTAGGAAAAATGAAACTACCAATTTACCCAGCCTAATAGATAGATATGGTCAAGGCCTAATTACGATTCAGGATAAGTATTGTTAAGCTATTCCCAAACTAAACTGCTGATATAGGCATGGATTGACTAAATCCCATGAGGGATGAATCTCTGCAGCCACGTAAATCAATAAGAACATCGTTGATGGGTTAAAGTAACCGCAGAATACCCTACACGTGTTTTATCATTCATTGATACCACTGCTCATTTTGTGCATGTAAACTCTTGGACTCCAAGTGTTGACACGTCGTGTGAACCGTTACTGAACCATCTATAGTCCGGTCTGTCAAAAGTCACTCCGTATTGGTAAGTGAAGCAAAACGAGCACTTTGATTGTAAGCGTTAGTTTCAGAACGACAGTGTTTTGCAGACGGACGCATACTCAAGTCGGATATGTCTATAAGACTGTCATTTGTTCAATTGCCACATCACACATTCGTCTCAGCATGGCTGTTTATCAATCATCTTTCGAATCCATTGACCGTGCTAACGGTCAAACCTGGAACGTCAGGGGCAAAGGAAGAGCGTACTGCCTGTCCACTGAACCGGGAGGCATTTTAACGAACTAAATACCTGGTTGATTCTGTATACAAAGCAATGAAACGTACCAGACTTGGATTGTGTTCAGAGATGGTGGTCAAATAGGAACTATGGATCAATTACACATCGCCTCGGATGCCGTGAGTTCAAAGTCCATACACGTTGCCCAACTTTCGCAATCCTCTTAATGCCAAGCAGGTTCATATTATTGGTTTTATTATGATCAATAATAATAATGATATTGATAATACGAATATAATATTACATTACTGTAAGTTATCATGTATCTATGGTGTTTAAATAATTTTATAAAGACAAACAGTGCAATCTGGTAAGGAAAATTATTCACGGTCCATTAGTTCCGTGATTGTTTATGCGGAGTTTGAAGATAGTTCTTTCTGTTGTTTAGATTTCAACCATTTGTGCGTTCTGGAAGACCTAAACGAGGCGTTCTGCACACATGTGGATTGTTCACACTTTTATACCTCGGAAATTTTTCAAATGGTTTTATATAATTAGGTTGTAAACAGATCACAAAACGCCCACTGGACTGGAACTCACATCCCCCACCCCCACCCCGCACACACACATTTCGTACACTTTAGTACAATCAAAGTTGATCCATAATGTCAAATATAATCTGTTCATACTTATTGTTTTTTCCCGAAAATGAGTCAATGATACCTGTCTATAAATGTGACACAAAAATGCAACAACTCATTTGTGACAGTTTTTAACGTAGTTTCAAGTTGGTCCGAGACAGGAAGTCGACCAATAAACAAAGAAGAGATCGTCATAGTAGCAAACTGACCAATCACAGCTGCAATCCGGCGGTGTCGATCATTGGGATTGAATGGTTGCAAGGAGCCAATCACAGCATTCGACGGGAACTACGCAAATCCGGAGAATCCACAAACACCAATAGCCCTATCCCGAACTAATAATATTTAACCTTACATTTGACGTAATACTAGCTGTCAGAAGTTTCGATTTGGCTGGAAGCAATCGACGCTGAACTGCGTCGTACACGATTAAGCCAATGATAGATTCATTCGGCCTGTGTGTGTGCTATCCCTCGTCCTAGATAGCAGGTTACTGGTTACAGTACACAATGTATTATATCCTGCTACTCAAATACATCGGAAACAGTTTGTGGTTTGTCACATTCCTTTGCAGATGCATACAAAATAATCTTACAAGACATGAAAGCAAAGCCTAAATTTCCTCTCTTCTACGAACAGGTATTTATTTATATGGCATGCTCACTAACATACACTTCAACTCACCCACTTGTTTACCGACGGGTCTTATGGTGTATATTGCATCACTCAGTTCGTACCCGTCGATTTCCAGTGCCAGACTGCATAAGGTGAATATTGCAATGGGGAAACAATCGGTTCATTATCAAAACAGCGATAAATGTTGATGACCGAAATATACGGGTTTCAACATACATTGCTTTCAACCAGCTGTAAAATCAATGCCAATAAATAGCCTGCCTAGGTTCCAATTTCCAAAGATAAAGTTGTGCTAGATCACGATGGTTTTCCTAGCGTCAGCTGTTTCCAGTCCTGGGACGGACCCGGACACTGAGGCAGTGGCATTTACGGTTGTTGACTAGCTGACTGCTGACGATATTCAGCTATACGACAGTAAACAATACCGTTATCGGCATAATTCAAAGAATAAACTTGGAATTCGGTTAAAGATCTCCTATCGAGGCTCCAGACGCCAATCTCTACACTTGTGTGTGCGCGCAAAGCGTACAGGGACTGTTGCAAATCGTAGCAAATTTCGCCAATTAGGGAGGTGGAGTCAGTTCAAAGGACAGTGGGAGTTCTGAGGTGCCATTTTGGCGTGTAGATAATCTAACTTGGCTATTCTCAAGGCAAAACGACAGAATACTTGTTCTTGAAAACCTTCAACCAGTTTCCGCACAACGTGATTCCGAAGATCGATGGAGAACCATGGATTTTCAACATAATGAGGCCTCGAAACATGAAGCGCACTTAAAAGATTGTCACTGATGCACTGAAATACCCTAATTATGGATTGGACAGACCACAGTGCTCATTTTAAACCCCATTAAAAGCATATGCAGTCTATTGACGAGGCTGATGCATGTAAATGGAATGAAAGTTATTCATCATAAGTAGAAAATAAGTAGAAAAATTTAAACAATCCGAAAAGTGATTGGAAATTTTCTTGAGGGTTGTTTTTCAACCCTGAACAACAAATATCGATACTTTTTGTGGTGATCCGGGCCCACGAGATGACGCTTACCCTGGAGCAACGCGTTACAGTTCTTGGACACCTGCGATCAATCAAACTTCACGTATGACGTCAAAAACGCGTATACGTGCCACTGTTTCTGACTACATACCATAGGTAGATCTTACCAGCCAATCAGAGACCGTGCTGCCCAGACAGAAGCTGAACGATCTCAGGAATACTGGAGCGCGATTGGCAGAAGCCCGGATAGCCAATGAGCCTACTTTACTCATATTATTTAATCCCCTTTACTTCTTCCAGTAAACAAACTGTGGCCTGTGACCTTTTCGTCGCGTCTCAGTTACGTGGGACATTGCGTGCTAGTGCCAGTGCGGTCCAGTACTTACGTGATCCAGTTTGGGATTGCTAATCCTTGATTCGTATTCCGTGATCCGTATTGCGGGGTTCGTATTCCGAGTTCAAAGCGTATTACCGT